AAACTGGGGAGAGGTGTTCCCATAAGTAACCTGGTCCCAAGCAAAGTTTTAAAAGTGACCACCACATTGAATTTCATTAAGAAACATACTGCTAGCCAGTGTAGCTCACATAGTGTTCTGACCAGGCTGAGCAGAACCAAGAAACAGACTCATTGTCCAAAAAAACCCCTCTTTATTTAGTTACTGTGAATTCATGGCATTCACACACAGAAAAGGCCCAGCAGTAATCCTCCCAAGGGTTAATTGCAAGAACAGACCTTATCAGACCTTGGATAATTGCCCCACTGAGAACTTCTAGTCGCAAAGCTGTAAATTAAACACCTGGCAAGGAGTCTCTGTGAGGCTTGAACTCTGATAAGCAAATCTTCCACAAGAAATATGAACTAATTGTATCCTGTAACCACCACTCCCCCTTTTGCTTCTATTTATTTCCTGGGAGGGTCCATTCATCCACATGTGCCTTCTGAGTTGGCCCCTGTTCCTTAATTATTCTGTTCTCCTGGCAGCTCTGTGCATACGCGCATCTGGAACAGGCTCCAGCCGTTCCTCTTCCTCACTTATCTCCGACTCCATAGGCAGCTGGAAAATGTTGGACAGCCCTGGCCCCATCTCTGCCTCTGATACAGAGTACCCATCAGAGCCTTCCTCAGACTCCAGGACTCTCCCAAGTTTCTCCCCATCCTCACTGTCTGAGTCTGCCACCAGCTCTGCTGGCAGCTGGTGGCCACAACACATAGCAGAGGTGGCCTATGCACCAAATAACAGGCAACTTTAAGACAGCTTGACATAATAAGACAGTATAAGAGCCTGTTTGGTCTAGTGGTTAAGGCACCAGACTAGAAAGCAAGAGACTATAAGTTCAAGCCATGAAAGGCAACTGAGTGACTTTGGCCAGTCACTCTTTCATTGTCTAGGAATGGTGCAAATGATGCACAATCCAAAAAGATGTGCAAAGGCTATCCCAGCTAAGGCTGCCACCTCTTAGTTGAGCAGGAGCTGTGAGTCTAGGCTCTAGTCTAGGAGGATCCCGTTGACTGCTGTTTCTGTCAGAGGCAATACTATCTCATCCAGAATCAAAGACAAAAGTCCAAAAACCTAGAGCAGTTTTGTCTTGTTAGGGTAGAATGAAATTTGATATGTCCCATTTAGATCTTAGTTTCCAGTGCTGAAACAAAATCTCCATGGCACCACTCAGACAATCTGAGTTAGAGATGTAAAGATGATATCATACTGATGAAACTTCACCCTAATCATAGGATGACTTCATCCAGAAGCTTTAGGGAGACCTTGATGGGAAAAAGCACTGAACCCTGAGACACCCCACAGGATAATGACTGCAGGTTGAACTTCTTCCTGCCCTATCAACACAATTGGAATTGGCCTCAGAAAGGAAGCAAACTAGTAATACAATGCATTCCCAACTATCGGAGCCAGGCCAGAAGGATACCATTGATGATATTGAAACTTGATAGTATTAAAAGCTGCTGAGTAATCAAAAACAAGGATGAATGTATCATTCCATACCATTCCCACAGACATCATCCAAATTGCCTTTTATAGTAACAATTTTAAACATAAGCAAGTTAATCTAATGTAATAACATTAAAAATCTCTGAAAATTTTGTTGGTATAGTATGTATGCCTTATAAAGAAGCTATCTTGTCCAAAATTATTACTATTATTAAAACAAGTTTTAGAATATAATCCTGACATTATGATGATGTGATTTGAAATATTTAATTAAACTAGGGTTATTTGCTTTGTTTCAGGGCATTTAAAAGAATATCAACAATTAGTAATTGCATCTGATAATGATTCATACAAAACATCATTGAACAGAATCCCAGAACAGTCTACACTGAAAAAGGACAGCAGAAATTACAAAAGCTTCAGCATGAATGTCAAAATTCATGGCAAAAGTGCCATTAAGAACCATCAACTAAGATATGCAGTTCAGTTTAAAATTAATCTAAATTTAGTTGGAGTCAAAAATACCATACAAATTTTAAAAAAGCAATTAGTAACATTTAGTAATGTTTTGATGCAAAGAAATTATTTAAGGAGACTCAGTATGCTGATGAATACAGATCTTAAAGATTGTAAAGTAAAGGTGAATTTTTATATTACTGTAAGAAAGAAATTTGAAGGTAACAAATCACATACATCGTATTTTGAAAATGGATGTAAATACATGGAAACCAGATTACCAATGAGTTATATGGCACATCAAGCAAATATATTAAGAAGTGAAGAACTGTTGCAAAAAAGTCTGGAAAGCTTGGGAAGCATTATATTAAAATTTACAAAGCAACATAAAGGAGAAGATCATATTGAAACAAACATTTTAAAGGAAAAATGTAAAAATAGTATTGATAGACTTTTAGCTTCTGTGAAAGATTTTTTTTTTAAAGTGATTACAAATGAGTACAATAAAAATTTGCACAGAATAGTTTCTGATGAACAGAAAATACTTACTAGAGAAAGAAATATATATATAGGATTTAAAAGTTTACAACAGGAAAAAAATATTAAAGAAAAAATCAAGATGTGGAAATGGAAAACAAGTAAAAAATCAATTTATGCAAATCAGAAGCTTCAATTCAGACATTTATTCACTTACCAAAGAAACAGTCACATACAAAAGGTATACTCAACTCATAAAAAGATGTTTAATATTCAAAGGAAAAAAATCCCTGTATTTCAAACAAAAAATTATAGAATGAAACATTTAATACAAAAATGGGGCAATATTGTCAGAGCTAGACAAGAGAGTAAATTTGGAGAAAATGAAATGGGCACTTTGTTCAAAAATTGCTATATGCATTTTTCCATAATAAATCTTAAGTTTCTAACAATTACAATATGTATGAAGCAAGAATTTTTTAGCTCAAGGAAATATCAAACACAGCAATTAATCCAAGTGAAAAAAATGTTGCGATATCTGTTGGCATCTTCAGAGAGAGTTAAAAATAAGTATTTTAGTCTTAGTCAGAAAGGACTTGAAATGTCATTTCTAAAAACACCGATAGTAAAATGGCTTATTAAAAAAGAGGGTTTTCCAGGTTTAACCTACCGATACTTCTACAAAAATATTTTTAATAGCCCATCATCAACTGTTGAAAGAACCAAGCGATCAGAAAAAGATAAAACTGAATCAATATCAGTAGGTAGGTTTATTTTTGTGTTCATCATACATATTTTTAAAAGATAATAGCATTAATATGCAGTTAAATGTATAAATTGAATAATCTCCAGTTTAAAAGTATCGTTGATCAATAAACATCTATAAACAGCTCTATAAGTCTAAAAAGGAAAGAAACTGGGTTCATACCCTACATATAGTAAATCCTTCATGGCACCAAACAAAAGGATTTCAAATCTAGTGAATATTGATTCTGACCTGATAAACAAATTATTAGCATAAAAATATGCATCACTTAAATTCATATATACTGAATTATTAGCATAAATTGTAAGCAATATTTCTGTATCACTTTTAGGGCTGGCTAGTTCTATCAATTTCCCTTCAGACTTTTGTACCAATTCTAAAGATCTTTCAGGTCTCAAACATTTTGGGAAATGGGAGTTGTACAGAAGATAATTGGAAAATTTTGATTTTACAAAGTCTGTTCCATTCATAGAAAGGATATACCGGTATACTCAAGCAGGCCTGTTAAAAGAATTGTATATTGCTGTATTACGTTACTCCTTGTTCAGTTAAATTTAGAAGAATCTTTGCTATGGTCCACAATGCCATCTGAAATTTAGCTTATTTTTTATTGGAGATGGTTAGATTTTCCTTGTCACTTCTTAAAGTAGTATAATTAATGTAGAGTGTCAGAATAAAGTTGTTAACAGTGAACAACAATGGCCTCAGATATTCCATCCTATTAAAGTACAAGACACTTTACCCTGTATATATTGTCTGCTCAGATCATGGCTGTTTTACCTTCAGAAATAAAAACTCTATACACTGATCCTATCTAGAAACTCCCTGATCAGGAAATCAAAACTCTTCCACACATATACTTCAACAGAAATAGCTATGTAGAAGGTAATTAAAATACGAAGATTAATCTTAATGGAGTTGTTTTCTGCATCAGTAATATCAGTGGCAATTCTGGCCCACATGATCTTGGTAAATGGAAAAAAAAGTAGTGGAAGCAATCACCCAAGACAAATTCCACAAAAATAATATACAACAATGGATTCCAAAATGTTCCCCGTTTGTAGAAAAAAGAAAAAAATGAGCTGCTCTGGAAGATGTTAGAGGGTAAAATGAGTGCTTTAAATGCTTAGAGATTTATGATAAATATCATATCTTAGTCTCCCTCCCAAAAAGTTCCTGGCCAGTTTTTGAATGTGACTCTTGAATATATTGTGCTGTAGCTCTTGCACCTTATTATATGAATAAAGGCCACCAGCAAATTTGACTAATGCTAAACTATCTGCCTTCTGTTCTGGCATAAAATTCTATTAGTATACATTTCCATCCTTGCATACTTATATTTGAATGGAGATAATGGTTTAATTGTCATAAAAAATCAAAATGTCAATAGATTTTATATAATGCAGAACTTCTGAAATACTGAAAGCTATATAATTCAAAAATGAGACACCTGCACAGCTATAAATAAGAAATGAGATTGATTGAAAGTCACAATGGAGATGCTGAATTCTTTCATTATTTTAATCATCCATCCGCTTTCCAATCAGATTTATCTTGGTTTGCTTCTGATTTTGGAGTCCAGCTGGAAAAAACAACTAGGAAGATTGCATTGTAGAATAATGAAAAATGGTGAAGAGTTCACGGTATCTCTTAGCACCATTCTTTTACTGAAAATTGCCCTTCACAGCCTTTCAGCAGACAAGACTACATTTAATTGTGGGCTTATTCTGAATAAACATGAATTTTAAGACAATTACAATGGAAGAAGACTTGAAAAATTATAAATATAAACAGAAGTCCATAAGATTTTAACGTTAACTTTTTTCTTTAGGTGCTTTGCGACATTTAAGCAATGCTCTTACAGCAGGTGCCACAATTTTTGGAATAGCTCTGTTTATTATTGCGTTAGCAGGATTTTATCTATACCTTAAAAGAAGGTAAGTTAATGGTTTTATAATTTCTTTCAAAAATTTCAAACTGACTACAGGTAGTCTTGACTTACAACCACAATTGAGCCCAAATTTCTGTTACTAAGTAAGATAGTTGTTAAGTGAATTTTGCTCCATTTTATGACCTTTCTTGCCACAGTTAAGTGAATCTGCAGTTAAGTTATTAACACAATTGTTAAGTGAATGTGGCTTCCCCATTGACTTTGTGGTCAAAAGGTTGCAAAAGGTGATCTCATGACCCTGGGACATTGCAAATGTCATAAATATGAACCAACTGTCAAACAGCTGAATTTTGATCAAGTGACCATGGGGATGCTTGCAACAATTGTGAGAATAGTCAAAAGTCACTTTTTTCAATTATGTAACTTTGGTCATTAAATGAACTGTTGTAAATTGAGGACTACCTGTATAGCTATTAATATAGTATTGGTTAATTAACTTCAGATTAATATACAACACCAATCTTTATTTAATAACATGTATTAAGAAAGGTTGGGGAACTCTAATTAGAGAGTATTAATTCTCCAGATCAAAGAGTACTTTATTTGAAAAAAAATGCTTTATAACTAAATGAAATAAGATTACATTGTACGTATGAATTCCATGCACAGTTTAACTCAAGTACTTTTTTATTTTAACAAAATACATAATTTTAATAATTTATCTTGGAAAGTAATAATATCTTTATTATGGTCCATTACTAGTACCTTGGAAGTTGAGAATCAATGTATCTTTTCTATCAGATTTGTAATTACATTGCAGAAATATATCTTGGTAGCTTCAATCTTCCAGCAAATTCAAGTTAACATCTATTTAGATCTCCTGTTTGAATATTGCTGTTATTATTTTAAAATAATAAATTATAGTCATACATTATAAATAATAATGTAAATATTTTTTATTTTAAAAAATGATAATAACCTATCATGCAGTATTCTCTCAACTTTTTATGTCATATAATGATAATTTTGAAAATAGTGTGTCTTTAGCCCAATTTCATCATTGAAATACACCTGTTTTGTTTTTTTAGGTAAAAAGAAGCATGGTTTTCTGATGATAATTTTTATTACTTGACAGACCAGAAAGACCAGAAGTTGCTGGGGTTCACTTGATCAATACTGTACACTGCAAATTATTGCCGGGGGGGGGGCATGTGCACTCCCATGTGAGCAACTCAATTTTATGACCTTGTTTGTAGTCATAAAGTGACCATCATGGTTAAGTGAATGCTATGATCATTAAATGAATCAATTGTTTGCATAGCCCAGTCTTGCCAAAAACCAGGAGTAAAGGCAAAGGCATTGTAAATACCCCTGGGAAGTCTGTCATAAGTGGTTGCTAAACGACTGGCGTAAGTTAAGGACTACCTGTGCTTCAAATTTATACTGGAAGTGTAATCAGTGTGGGGTTATTTTGCTATGTGAAAATATAGATGTGAAAATAACTAGAAAGTTTTGGACCCAATTACATATCTTAATTCAGAAGATTTTTAAGAGGAATATAAAATTGAAACCAGTTTTATAAAATTGAAAGCTTTTCTTTTGAGACTGATCAATAATCAATTTGAAAAAAGTCATGGAGTTTTGTTTTTATACATAATAACTACAGTGCAAAGGTGAAAAATTTGACATTACCCACAATGGAAGAATGGATAGTAAAGATGATGGAACTTTCTGAAGTGGCCAAACTGACCGCTTTGATTAGAGAAAAGACATCCAAATTTAACCCTGATACAAATTCCATATACTTTTTGTCTATAAGGATCTACTTTATATTTTTTTTCTTCTTTCTATTTTCTTTTTTCTGCACTTCTGATTTTATCTTTTTCCCCTTCTGTTTTACTTTATTCTAAGTATTAGTTCTTGTGAATTTTTATCTTTATTTTTAAAGTTTTTAATAGTTATATGAGAAAAAAGAAAATTTAGTTTAAATTTCAGCAAACCATAATTCTAGAATTGTTTCTTAATTTTATTGATTATTACATGGCATTCATTTTTATTACTATTTTTATAATTTTAAGAGATATACATGTAATTTTATATTAATTTCTAAATAAATACTGTTGATGTAAATCGTGTAAGTTTATATACAAAAATGCTTTCATCCTAGTATGGTCAGCAAACCAAAGAAATTATTAGCATTTTTATAGTTTTTATTACAAAATTTAGTACAAAAATGTTCAGTTTTTGTATGTAATATATTTTTATATATTTCAGGCAAGTTTTAAAATTTTTCAATACTGTTCTGAAAGATGGAAAATCCTCTCGCAAGTCCAAATCTACTGATGCCGAAGATTATGCTCCTGTTTCTGTTTCACAGAATTTTCATTTTGTACAACCAAAGGTAAGATTCAATACTATATAGTTATAAAAAATGAACGCTTTATATGGCTTCTCTCCTAAGATTCACAAAATTCTGAAGCTAATTAAAACCCTAAAGATGCTTGTATAAATTCACTATGGGAATTCTTCATTTGGGTGATATAAATGAATACTGAATACTATCTAGGCCAAAATTTAACACATGTAATATATAATTTTTGAAATCTCAATGAATGAACCCCAATAGAATAGATTGGAACTGCATAGAATATTGTACCAGATACATAGGATAGCCAGTACAATGTAACTATATACTAGAGATTTGGAATAAAGCCAGATGTTAGTAATAATTCATATCCAGCCTATAAGTATGTATAAAGCCAAAACACATCTACATTGATGATGATAATGGAGCCATGATGGAATCCGACAATGATATACCGATATATATTTTCTTTTTTTGGATACAGATTTTTTTCAATTTATATTCAATAATTTTTTAAAAAAATATAATTCCTTTAAATGCAATTATAATAATAGTAAAAGACATACTAAACCAGGGGTCACCAACCTTTTGGATCTCAGGGACCACCAAACTCATAATTTTAAATCCTGCGGACCACTGATATGAATTTTGACTGACAGTGGCTTGCTGATGTTTTCCCAGGGTCTCTGCAGAAAACAGCAAAGACCCTGGGAAAATCCCCCACCCTGTTTTCCTACTAATCGCAGGATACCATCTCCAGCTCCGTTCTCAGGGGGAGAGAGAGAGAGAGAGAAAGAGAGACTTTTGGCTTCATGCAAGGAAAGCAGCAGGTGCAGCAGAAGTCTTTCTTTCTCTCCCCCAAACTCTGCCAGGAATGAGTCTTTGCCTCCTCAGCCTGTTTGAGCAGGATGCCTTGCAGGGTCCCAAAGACTCATTTATGGCAGAGTTTGGGGAGAGAGAAAGAAAGACTTTTGCTGTTTTCCTTGCATGCAGCCAAAAGCAGGAGGAGAAAGAAGTGGAAAGAAGCAGCCCAGTGGCCAGGCCAAGCACGTGGGGCGAGTGGGGCAAGTTCCCCCCTCCATCCTTTCCCCCCTCCCCTCACTATCTTGTGTTGTGCGTGATGCAAGCCTTGTGTTCCCATGGGCCACAAGGCCAAGCCTTGTGTTCCCGCAGCCTTGTGTTCCCGCGCCCTTGTGTTCCCGCGCAGCCTGGATTAATTGCTTTTGGGGGAACATTTTTCTGCCGACCACCAAAATTTTCTCGCAGAACACGAGTACTCCCTGGCCCACTGGTTGGCGACCACTGTACTAAACTGTTGATTGTATATGTTACATTTAAAAAACACTTTTCCCTCCAAAGTGATATAAATTAATATTTTAAGTCCAGTAGTAATTGATACATCAAAATTTAGTTTTAAGAATCTGATATTTCTTTAGCTTCTTCAGTTCCTGGTCAATAAAATTTGAATGTTACTAACATAGCACTAAAGGCTCTCTTGATACTATGCAACTCTGTTGTGAAAGCAATTTTATACTGTGATGATAGTCTATATGATTTATTCTCTATATTCTAGGTCCATTTAGTATCAAATATATTTTGATTTATGAAATGCAGGTAATCCTTGATTTACAATCATTTGTTTAATAACCATTTGAAGTTACAATGGCACTGGAAAAAATGATTTATGATTATTTTTCACATTTATGACCATTGCAGCATCCCCATGGTCACATGATCAAAGTTGCTTGGCAACTGGCATGTATTTATGACAGTTGCAGTGTCCTGAGATCAACTGATCAACTTTTGCAATCCTCTGACAAGCAAAAGTTTATAGGGAGGCCAAATTCATTTAACAACCGTGTTACAAACTTAACAACTGCAGTGATTCACTTAATAAGTGTGATAAGATCATAAAATGGGACAAAACTCACTTAACAATTGTCTTGCTTAGCGATGGAAATTTTGGGTTCAATTGTGGTTGTAAGTTGACAACTATATCAATTAAATATTTTATGTCTTGTAAGCATTATAATAACAGATTTGTTAATCTTCAACATATTTTAATATTTGATAATTTAATTCAGGATGAGGTATACCTAACAAGTATTAGAAAAATTATTAATACATTTTGTTTAACATAAGATTGATGCTTTATCTTTTTTATATTTGATAGAAATCAAGAAAGAAGCAGACAGCAGAAGGTATCAACAGTTTCTAATAATGCAATTTACAAATAATTATATAGTGCTAGGAGACTTGCAAAGTAAAGGAAATAAGTTAAATGCAATTACAGAAGTTTAGATAAAGGAAATATATATTTTCAATACGTAGTAATTAAATTTTAAAAGTCAATGGCAGAATATAACTGAATAGCTTGCTAATAGTTTCACACACACACACACACACACACGTGTTTTCTTAAGTTTTCGTGGGTACTTACATGTATGGTATTCAGCTTTATTCGGGTATTTTCCCACGTCATTATAGTTGTGCTTTTAAAGTTGTAGCAACGTTTCGGCAGAATCTCATCTGCCATCATCAGGCTTCTGTATTGTGTTCGTCTGATATATATGTATGTATGTATGTATGTATGTATGTATGTTAAGTTTTTGCGGGTACTTACATGTATGGTATTCAGCTTTGTTCGGGTATTTCCCATATTTTCCATGATTGTGTTAACTAGTATCAGATTTTCTTAACACATTACAAAGAGCAGGTGTATAAAATGTGATAGATCCACATCTAGCATTTGAAATGTAAAGGTCTCCAGGACAGATAACATAGCAAATCACCCAATTAAAATTTGATCATACTGTGCAGACTTCTGGTGGATTAAAGCTTCACAGTCAAAACATTGTTGATCATCAATTTAGTTTGTCAGGGTATTAAAATAAAATTTGGGGCAACTTCTCCTAGTTCATGCAAAGATATCTGCTTGAAGAACCATTAAATGTATTTTAAGAGAATAGGGCAGTGGTGGTATGCTACTGGTTCGGCCGAACCGGTAGTTAAAAAAGTCTCTCGTGATCAGCTGAGAGGAGAAAGAAGAGAAAAGCATAGGATCGGCCCTCCCACCCGCCCCTGCCCGTTTTTCTTCTTTATCCTCTCAGCTGATTGGCGCTGCAGACCGCAGCTGGTGTGTGGAAAGCTGCGCACGCACGCGATCACCGAACCAGTAGTGGAACAGGTAGGATCCCACTGCTGGAATAGGGTTAGAAATCTGTCAACTATTATTTAACATTATAGTATCAGGGCCATAGTAAGTTTCTTACTGGTAGGCTTATGATCAATTTGTCATGATTCTCACAACTCATTTTCTGTGCTAATTTCAGAGATAAAATTACAGAAATAAATGAAGCTCAAAAGGAATCCATGGGAAACTAAAAGACTGAGAACCCCTGATCCAAATTATGAAGTTTAAGAACTATTTTTGTGGCCTATAGCATTGTTTAAATTTGGTTGGCAATGAACTGCCAAGTTATAATAGCAAAATTCTTTGCTACTTTTTACCGGGAAACAGATAGACATACTAATTCACTAATAAGATTAATGTACTATTAATATTTAAAATAATCACTTCATTCCCCTTTGATGATACCATGTCATTGCCACAGTTTCTGCCATTGAAAAAAATTAAAAATTAAATTTTAAAAATTAAAAAAAATAAAAAATACTAAAATTAAGGCTCTCAGGGTTCAAAGAGATTATCTACCTCTATTCTAAATAACAATCCTTGTACCCATTATCCTATGGTAGAAGTTTATTTAAACATTAGCTTTTATACTTTGCAGAAGTGAAGATATTATTGTTAATACTTACATTAAATAGAGTTTGAATCTTAATAACTTTTTCCCTGTGAAAAGCATTGTGAGGAAGAGGAGATTCATGGAGCAAGGAGTTCCATTTTCTCTTTTTAGCTATTGAGGTCCTCTTGGTCTTAAGCATGTTGTCGTGAAAGAAATAGGCTACTCCATGAAATCTTACAAATCAGGCATATTGATAATAGAAGATAACATATCCAAAATAATTTTGTCCTATGTCTGAGTTAGTGTTTTATTTTGTACTGTTTAACATAATTTGATATATTCTTGTGGTAACATTAGAGACAAAATAATGTGAAGGAATTTTGGAATAGGAGATAGTTATCAACTAGTTTTCAGATTAGTTTTACTACTGGTATTATTGAAAATAAATTCATTTTAAGACACATATTTTAATGAACAATATTAACTATTTCACTACAGATGTAGATGCCAAAGGTCATGTTGCTGTGAAAAATATATATGATAGCTCTGATACAGAAGGAGGTTCAAAAAGATCGCACAGAAGTTTGACTGTAAGATCCAGAGCATATGTGTTTCCATCTCGGTCCAGTGGAAGTGTACAATCTTTCTATGATGATGTTTGTGATATTTGCTCAGCGCAATTTTCTTTATCAGATGAATTTATTATAGAAAAACCATGTTCAAATCTGTCCAGCACTACTCCCAAAGCAAAAGAAACTGTTTCTGTTGCATGTCAAACCAACCATTATTCGAAAGATGATCAAAACTATTATATTAATACCGATATGTCACCGCAGCTCAAGAAACCAACTATTTCAAGATCAAAATCTGAAAATGACATCGTAAAGGCTTCCTCCAGTAATACATCACGTCCAGTACAATCATTGACTCGTGTTTCTGAAGTACAAAATCCATGATCCGTATATTTATATCACATTGAAAAGTTCGAATTAACCTTAAAATGCTGATGATTCTATTTTTTTCATTAATCAACAAAGTTTTTAACTGAATACAGTTGCATTAAGAATAGCACACACAGTTCTTGTTCCAGCTTTATAGGAAGTTCTCCATTCTTGATGCTCCATTTTAAGATCATGGCATTTCTGGTTAGGGTTAAATATTTTGAAACTGGGATATTTTGACTACAAAATGTTTTGTAGACTCACAACTGTGTGTGTGTGTACACAGATGCAACAACATAGCATCCATAAAACTTGTAGAATGTATTATAGATGGCCTAAGAGAATTATACTATTAGAAGACATTCAGAATTTATTACATCAAGATAAGACTTGCCCTCTCTGTGGGTTGTTCAAGTGATTTCAAACTCCTCAAACCATTCATGCATTCAATGCAGGTTCCTGTAAGGATTTTACACATTCAGTTTCATTTATGCTCACTCATGCAAGCAAGGATGCTGAGGCTTTGGGGGGGGGGGGTGTTATTGTGATAAAACTGACTAATTCCCAATCAGAACTAGAAACTACCCAAACTGTTCAAACCCATCTGGGTGAATTCATGAGATGTGAATCAATGGCATTCAAGTCCATTTACTGAGATTTTGTTTCTGTGGGTCATTGACTCTTGTGGTAGCATCAAGAGTGAAACCTGACATCAGTAAATAATCAGTAAACAATGTTTTATTAATAGTGTATTGTGGCCTAAGAGAACATAGCTTTCGATCATTGGACTGTTATAAGGAAAAACACAATGAAAAACAGCTGTGATATTCATGGGATTTAGACAGTTTTTACATATTTTTTAATCAAAAACAAATATTTCATTTGTGATACAGTGTCATGTAAAGTTTGGTCGTATTGACCTAGTTGCATAATTCACTAGCATATAGTGAAGTTATGAAATAAAGTAGAAAATTTTTCTTCCTTTATACGGGAAGTTGAAGTTCCAACTTGCTGGGAAATTCAAGTTTTTGTATAACTTGACGATGGATGTAAATCATAACAGCCATTTCCACTATGGATAAGCAAGCCTTATATATAAAGTCCCAGAATAATTTATTGTTTATTGGCAAAAAATGCTGAGTTGTACTGCTAAGCAGATTGGAGAACCAACACTTTCTTCCTTTTGTAGTTTATTGAGTTTCTATGGTAAGGGTATAAGAAAGATGGGGCACTTCCATTCCCCACCATCAGTTTTTAGTCTCCTGTTACAGTTGGTGAGTATAACTGAAATACCTGTTTTGATGACAAACACTGGTAAATAAAATGTAAGAAAAAGCCAAAGGTCAGGATTCTAAAGCAACCTGCCCATTAGACTCATGTAGAGAAAAATAGCCAAACTGGTAAGTTCTCTGAGGTGCTGTTTCTCCATGAGTCTGGTTCACTGCACGGGATGTCCTGTGAGTGTATTAAATACCACCCCATGTGGAAGTAAAACATCCTGCAGTGACCTACCTATTGGACCATGTTTTTCTGCATAGGTCTGGCAAGTAGATTGCTGTACAGAGATCTTAGTCTATCTTCCTAGCAGTACCACAATTGCTAGAAATAAAGTTCATGAAACCAAAATCTACGGTAACCTGCTTGTCACAATACTTAAAGCAATACTGTTAAAGTTTCTCATGACTAAGCCTACCACTCTAGCCAACTATCAAAATTTACCACCTCTCTGAACTCAGGTCAGAACAGCAACTGGTAGATATTTATTCCACCAGCAATGAAATCCACTAATCACTACATCCCAAATGGCTGAGGTGTTAGAAGTTACACATATTGTGACAACTTTAAATAATGGAATCTTAACTGAATGGGAAGTACTTGGAAATGTATATGGCATCAATTGCTATGCTAATACGGAATAAAGAATGCGAAAGCTGAACACTTCTTGGCATTCTGTAGAATTAATCACATTAGAATTAATTGGGTTTTGTCACTTAGTACATAAATTTTTAGATATTGTTTTCAACAGTTTGATATGTAAAGTCAAATTCTTTGGAAAAGTAGATTGGTAATGCTGCTCAAGACCTCAGTAAGAGCATTTAATATGAAATTTATAAAAGATTTTTGGGCAGGGCAATGTCTAAATGCCTATGAAAAAGTCAACGTTTAAAAACCACATTTTTAGGGTTTTTTTATACATACAATATTGTCTTCACAAGAAAACCAACAGAAGAAATATGATTTTACAATATAATCTTACGCTTATTTACTCGAATCCAATTGAATTGTGTGACCACAAGTAATGTAATATTTTTAACGTTGATTAGTCAGAAAGAAACTAGTAATACTGCAATGTTATCTAGAAACCATATTGGAATGAATTGTGCCTTTGAGTAAACATGCAAAGGATTAAGCTTTTTACTCTGACTGAAATATATGCAGTCGTTTAACAAAAAAGTGCCAGAAGTTTTAGTGTAGTGCCCCCAAAATGAATATACAACTTGAGGTCTGCCGAGGCCCTATTTTAACTATAAAATTAATCTGTGGTCTATTACTGTATGCGGAAGAAATACCTCTCCAGGCCCAATCAAGAGAAACTGTTCAGAAATCTAAATCCTGGGCTGCCAGTTCCCTTTGCCTCTCAGGGAAGGTGGGATTTAAGGTTGTGGTTAGCTAAAGCAGGCCGTAGCAGCGGCGGGCATCAATGCAGAAGGAGGAGCTAGAGAGGCCTGGCTGACAAAGCTCGCTGCGTAGACGGCTGGTGACCAGGAAGAAGAACGCCGCTTTAGGCTTAGGGAGGAAACGGGCTCTGTCTACCTGGACGCCTCCTCCCCTTTCTCCTAACTCCCAGAGGTCCAGAGGAGCCCGGGGCTGAGGCCCTGATGGTGCCTGAGGGCTGAAGCCTCTCCGGTTCTTTCCTGCTGCTCTTTCGGTGCTCGAGCGGTGACTGGGCATTCTGGCGGAAGGCGAGAAAGGGATGGTCACTCCCTGAGGCGAGCGGACGAGAGGCTAAGCAGCTTAGGTCGGGTAAGGAGCTGGCATGAGCTTCCAGTATCGAGTTGCTGCTGCCCGGGAAAGGCCGAGGGAGAGCCGCCGCTGTCGCCTGGAGCTGCCGTTGTGTTTCTGAGAAAGAGAAGGCCCCCCACTTCCCTTTGGGGAAGATGGGAAATTGCTTGAAATCGCCCACTTCGGATGATATTTCCCTGCTGCACGAGTCCCAATCGGACAGGGCCAGCTACGGGGATGGGACTGAACCGGATCAGGAGCCGCCGCCGCCATATCAGGTATTGCGAGAAACCGAAAAGGAGCCGGTCCCGGTTGGGGCTGGATAGGAGAATGAAACTCAGCGAGGGGGAATTTTCTAACAGGGCAGCCGAATCGATCGGTTGCAACAAGAGCGACAAAGGGGGTCTCGTGGTGGCACCCTAAGGATCGAAGGTAACGGCGGGCGGGGTGGGGGTGGGGGGAGAACAGCTTGGGCGCCTGTAGGGTATATTTTGACCCCGGGCTTCATCGGGAAGGGAAACACAAATTACAATCGCTAATGGACCAATGCAAGATCCCCATCCGTTGGTTTCGTGGGTGTGTTTGTCTTTAAAAATAAAAGTCTGTTGCCTTGTCGGTTTGGAATAAATGGCCACCGATGAGCAAACAAAAGTAGGGGGTTTCCTTTCACATATGGTTACCAGTAGCAGTTCCTGAGGCCTGAAATTTGACATCTGGCCAGATCTCTCTCATCTAAACCTCCTCCAGTCTGGTGGAGGAGACTTTGTTTCCTCCCTCCCTCCCTCCCTTATTTGCTTTTCAGTACTGTATTAAAAATGCGAGTATTCACAATTTGATTTGTGGTTTTATAGGATGACTCTAAAGACAAAATATAAACCACTTAAGCTTGGAATATTGGGCAAAATACAGACTTTGTTAAACAAAACAAAAACCCCAAATATCTAAAGTGAATTAAGATGTATTAGATTCCAACTGTTTTTCACTCGGAATTCAGCTTTTAATGTAAGCGAATTTTATTTCCAAGTAGTATAATCAAGATTGTGCTTAATTGACTATAATGTTGGATAGATTTGGTATTTAATTCTAGGAATTTCTAGTTGTCAATTCAGAAATATTTTTCTTTATCTGGGTCAGAAAAGGAGGTTCTAGTTTTTCAGCCAGGGCAGCTTCCTTTGTTTCTACACAGAGTGACATCACTGTCTGGTGTTGCTTCCTTCTTATTGCCTTGTTAAACCAATAACAATCCCTCTGTGTGTGTGTGAGAGAGAGAGGAGAGATCCTTTTTTAGACTTTTGAAATTAGTAATCCTACTAAGACATAATTTAGGGATTTCTGTGGCAATGGCTTATTTCCTCTGTTATAACTGGTAGTAAGCATAGGAAATAAACATTTTATTCTTCATTTTCTATCATTCATTTATCATGCTCTGTTTCTTCCTTCTCTTATTATTCATCATAAACTTTTTTTGCTACTCTTGAAATATATGACTAATAGGTGGATTGGATCAGACAAGTGATAACTGGAATTCTGCTGATCTAAGAGGCAGAGGGTAGGAAGGCAATTTTCACAATCAATGCTATCTGCAGCTCATGTTCCTCCTTAAAAATTGTTATGAAGGTGGAGAGGCACTGCTACTGAGAAACATAAAACATGTCCCAAGAGAACTGCAAAAGGTGTGAAGATTGTTTCTCTGCTCCATTGGAATTAGCTATTTTAATCCTGGAGTTTTAATGACCAATCTACTGTAGCCATTTCTGTGTTGATTAGTTAACAGCACTGCATGTTCATTTCCTGTGTGGATAATAATTTATCTTATGTATGTAGCCTGCCTTTTAAACAGTGTTGCTGGTTCTCATCCTCAAATAACCCTGTGAGGAAGATGAGGCTGCAAGATCCTGACTTCCCAAGTTCTATCGATAAACATCACAATTTAGATCTTCCAGATCCTACTTTAGCATTGTAAACACGGCACCCTCCTTTTAAAGGATAAATGCACAACAGTATATTATTCTAGGTTCAATCCTTGGTGCTAGAAAATCAGTAAATATATTCTGAAAATCTAAGCAATAATGCTTAGATATTTTATTAAAGATTTATAAAGACTTGATTTATTTTCAATGCTTGCTTATTTTTTCAGGATATGGGATAGATGTTTTATTGGGAAAAACTATTGATGAGCTACCAGTCTTCAGAGGTGAATAAATATATACTCAGAATCCTGTTGAGTTCAATGAGTTAAATTTCCAAGTAAGTATGCATAGGATTGCAGCCCTTATATATTCTTACAGAGTCTTGCATAATGCTGCTGCTAAGAACAGTAGTCAGAGTCCAGTAAAATTACTCGTGCATGTACAAAACTTTGTGCATTTGATGTTCATCATTTATTTCCACCTAACGGAGCGTCTATTACTAAACCACATTTAAGCTTCTAAGTTTGTATTTTGCTGCATGCATATACTTGGCATGCATATATGGTGCACTGGATCAATTACTCTAGAATTCATCTATTTGTATTTTCATCAAGGTGTAAAAATATTTCAAGAAGATTAGGTTATAGTAAACAAATTACAGCAAGCATTGAATTCTTTCTTAATGCAATGAATTAATTTGAATGCTAAGTATACAATGACTACAATTGATATGTTTATCTGAGTAATTTGACAGATAAGTGAAAGAGGGATGACTGGTATATAATACTGTGGCCTCTAACATTACACTCATATGCATGTTTAATTAGAAGTAAATGTTGCGTGTAGCCCAGATCTGATAATTCCAGATAATAACTCTGTCATTTCACACATTTACTGAAAGTAGATGTTACTGAAAACAGCAGAACTTTCTTCCACATTAATCTGCACAGAATTGTCTAATATTCAAGAAATTCTTGTGCATTTTAACTTGAGTAAATCTTTTTCAACTCAACTTGTGCAATGGATAGCTATGGCTGCAATCTTATGCATATATAAGTGAGTAAGCCCTATCAAACATTAAAACTAATTTGCAGGTAAACATACATAGGAATGATGTAACTTGGATTAAATATATTAAGTATTGCACTCTAAGACGGAAACATTGCATGTCTTTGGCAAGC